GGTCCGGCTGGAGTGCGACGAGAAAGACCTAGAGAGAGAGAGAGAGAGAATGCGAGAGAGGGAGAGAGAGAGAGAGAGAGAGAGACAGAAACACCTGCCACCGTGCCGCTGGGAACGGAGTAGTCGTGTCCTCAGGTCCTTTGCCGAATCCCCTGAGCCTCACCCCTCAGTCCTGAGGAGTCGACTGCGGGCCTGGGCCCAATTTTTCGAAAAATCCCTTGAGGCTTGTCGCGTGACCCCTGGGCTCCGGCGAGTTTCCCCGCGTGACTTTTCCGGACCCTGGAGGGCCCGAAGACGGGCCAAGACGGCCCCACGAGGCCCCAAAGACGCTCCAAGAGGGCCCCAAGTCGCCGAAAGATCGTTCCAAGACGCCAGAGATGATGGCCCAAGAGGCCTCCAAGAGGCCTCCCAAGAGGGCCCCAAGATGCCAGTGATTATCTGATGTCTTTTGATGGCGGCCAAGAGGCGCCCGAGGGCCCCAAGACGGCCCTAGAAGGAGCCCAAAAGAGGGAGCACTAACTGAAAATTCGAGCCTTCCGCCCCAAGGCCCCCAGGACGCCCCAAGAGGCGCCCAGGAGGCTCCCAGAGGCCCCCCAGAGGCCCCCAAGAGGCCCCCAAGAGGCTCCCAAAAGGCCCAAAAGAGGCCCCAAGAGGCCCCAAAACGGCCCCCGAGAGGCCTCCAAACTGCCTCCAAGAGGCCCCCGAGAGGGCTCCATACCACAACGAACACCTAACAGACTTCATACCCACAACCCAGGAACGGTGGCGGGATGGGCGGAATGCAATTCGATATATAAATATATGTATATACATATATATACATGTGTGTATATGCACATATAGATGTGGATATCTATATATGTGTATAAACATACATATATTCATACACACATACATACATACATACATACATACATACATACATACATACATACATGCACGCACGCACGCACGCACGCACGCATGCATACATGCATGCATGCATACATACATACATACATACATACATGCGTGCGTGCGTGCGTGCGTGCGTGCGTACGTACGTACGTACATACGTACATACACCCACATACATACATGCATACATGCATACATACATACGAACAGACATGTGTGCATACATACATACATACATGCGTGCATACATACATACCTACATGCATACATACACACAGACAGGCATATATATATATACATAAATACATATACACACATGCATACACACATACATACATATATACATGCATACATACATACATACATGCATACAAACATACACACACATACATACATGCATACAAACATACATACATACATACATACATACATGCATGCATACAAACATACCTACATACATGCATATATACATACACACATTGCATACATGCATGCATGCATGCATGCATGCATGCATGCATACATACAGACAGACAGACAGACATACATACATACATACACACATGCACAACTACATTAATGCATGCATGCATACATCCATACATGCATGCATGTATACATGCATTATATATATATATATATATATATAATATATATATATATTATATATATTTATATAAATATGTATGTACATATATGTATGCATGCATACATACATACATGCATGCATACGTACGTACATGTATACATACATACATACATGCATACATGCATGCAGGCAGGCAGGCAGGCAGGCAGGCATGTATGCACACGTACACAAATACATATATACACATGTGTATATGATGTGTAAATATACATACAGAGAGAGGCAACCAACTGAATCAATCAGGAATTGCCCTGGCGACGTACCCAACCCATGCACAATGCGGGGCAGGAGTAGCTTGGGAGACTTGACGAGAAGGCGGCGACGTGACATGGACGCCTCTACTTCTGCGAGCGGCATTCGGAAGGCTCGCAGGCCCCCCCAGGGGAAACACGATGAGTAACTAAGTGAACCCCTGAGTCACTGAGGAAGACGCAAGGCCCAAAAGGAGACGGTGGGCAAGGGGGCTTGAAACGTCGGCGGGGCAGCAACAACATGACATGCCCTCCCAAGGACGGCGAGGCCCCGCTCAGGTCTGCGCAGTGCCTCACTCCGCTGGACCCAGCAGCCGCCTTCGAAAATGGCGAACCCACCAGCAGCCCTCGAAAATGGCGACAAATTCGCAGATCGCAGCCCCCCAGGGACGGGGAGGTCCCGCTCAGATCCGCGCGGTGCCTCACTCCGCTGGACCCACCAGCAGCCCCCGAAAGTGGTAACAATTTCGCAGATCGCAGCCCCCCAGGGACGGGGAGGTCCCGCTCAGATTCGCGCGGTGACTCACTCCGCTGGACCCACCAGCAGCCCTCGAAAGTGTCAACAATTTCGCAGGTCGCAGCCCGCCAGGGACGTGCCTCACTCCGCTGGGCCCACGAGCAGCCCTCGAAAGTGGCGACAATTTCGCAGATCGCAGCCCCCCCCCAGGGACGGCAAGTCGCGGGAGACAGGAGGCGGGAGGGAGGAGGCGGGAGGAAGGAAGGACGCGCAAGCAGTACTCTATTCAAAACGAATACCCAACACACAAAAGAGAGAGAGAGAGAGAGAAGAAAATCACGAGAGAGAAAGAGCGAGAGAGAACGAGAAAGAAAAAACGAAGAACCAGAGAACGAGATCACGAGAGAGAGAGAGAGAGTCAGGGACAGGATTGCTCCTCCTCCTCCGTTGCCTCCCCCCCTGTCCCCTGCCACCGCTCCTTCCCCTCTTCCCCTCCTGCCGCCCCTCTTGCCAGCCCTCGCCCGCCTGCTTGTGCCGAGCTCCGCGGCTCTGGGGAGACCAAAAGGTATCGATACCGCTACTCCCCGGACCTCTCCCAGGTTGCGTTCTGACCAGGATTTCGAGGCGAATCCGATGGTGGCGACGAGGGCATCCAAGGAGGCCCAAAAAGGGGAAAACGAGGAAAGGGTAGCGGTCTTGGACGCCCGAAATGGGCACGGAAAGAATGAGTACAATGCCCAACAACAAATGCTGTCCCAAACCAAAAGCGACCGCTGTTGGGCAGGCGGCCTTCTGTCTCAAATGGACACAGGCCGCTGCGACACCGACAGCAAATCCGGTTCAAAATGAACAGGACTTGCTGTTGGGCATTGTACCCACCCCTTCCGTACCCCAGATTTTGTAATAAAGGGCGGGGGGTCTTATTTCGGGGGGGGGGGGGTCTCTTCCAGGCTGTCTTGGAGGGCCTGGGGGGTCTGGGGACGATGTTTTGGAGGGTTCTCCCACGGGGGAGGCCTGAAATGGCTTGTCTTGGAGGGTCCAGACCCCCTCCCTTTTATTACGAAATCTGGAATACCCATTTCGCTCGTGCCGAGCGGTACGGGTACAGTGGGGCCTCGGCCACAAGAAACCTCCGCAAGAAACCCAACCCTGAAATCCGCGATCTGTTCAATGAAAACCCAAATTTGTCGATCGAAAATCATCCAGGTCTTATTGGGGACCCATCGAAGTCCAAGAAACCCAGGGCACCCTGGCAAAATCCAATTGGTTTCTTGGCACGCCACCCACTGTACCTCTTCCTCCTCTGAGGCTCGAGGCGGCCGCCCCCGCGCGAGCCCGCCTCGAGCCCCCGCGGGCCCCTCGGGCTCCCGCCTGGCCCGATGCGGGCCCCCCACCGCCCTCCTTGCGCCCCTCGGGGGACGGGAGCCCGGGGGCCCCTCCGTGGGCACCCCTTACCGCCTGCACCTGCCCTCGGCGGGGGGGGGGGGGGGAACGTTGGGGGAGTGCTGGTTCAGGGGTCCTCCTCCTCCATGTTGCACGTTGCATGCATTCAAGGGGAGTCCGAGCACTCCTCGGGCCCGCTCGGACCTCATTGTGAGATCCTGTGACCTGGCACCCCCAACGCCCGCGCGCAGTCCTCCTGCGACTTCGCGGCGAGGGTGCTTGGCCATTGCAATAACCCTTGCGGCAGTAGACCTCGCAAGAGTCGTGACCTCGCCTTCTTCCCCGTGCTTGTGGGGGGGAGGCAAGGTTCCTTCAGCTTAAAGGCACGAGTCGACGACGCCCCCCCACACCTGCTGCAAAATGCGACTCCACGGATGACATGGAGGTGTGGGAGGTGTGTCGCGTGAAACCACTGGGCGTGATTCGGGGTGCACGGGGATCCGAGCCAGGACTCCTTGGTCCCTCGAATCTGGTACCTGAAGCAGATTTTGCACCTGAGGCCCTCGGGAACATCCTCGAAAACATGCTGGGCATGGCCCCACTTCTTTGGGGCCTTGACCCGCCCTCGCTTCTTGGGAGCGGGCGGCGGGGCTGGGAAAACTTCCCAGAAAAACTCCTGGACCGCGGCGATCCGATTCTGGATGAGCTCTATCTCACGATCTGCCTCTAGGACGGGGCGGGTCACCCAATCAGGAAGTTGGACCCGTGCTGCTGCATCTGCTGCTGTCTGATCTGCTAACTGGTTCACCAGGTATGCCCAGGGCTGGATGTTATAATCCCAGAAATCACTCTCCGTGGGGTGAGACTTGGTCTTGTGGAACTCCAGGGTCCCGTCGAAGCTCTGATGGGCCTCCCAGAACTCCCCCCATAAGTCGACGGAACATTTGTGTCGCCAAAGGGGCCCTCGAAGGACTCCTCGATATACGTAGGCTGAGTCTGTCACGATGGTAATCTCCCCTGCTAGGTTCTGGACAGCCTTGACCACCGCGTAGAGCTCTCCGCGGTTGACCGTCTGTCTTCCTGGCAGGCCTCCTCTTAAAGTTCCTATGGTCTCGAGGTCGGAATCTTTGACTGCTACCCCCCAGCCAACTCTCCTCAGCCTCGGATCATTCGGAAACCTTCCTCCTCCAGCGTCGGTTCCAACCAAAAACTTGCCCTTGATGGGGCCCCGTTGGATCATGAAGGTCCCCGTGGCTCCGAGGGTGGCTCTGGGAGGGTGTTGGTCCAGGCGTCCTGTCGTGAAATCAGCTGGCTGCAGTCCTCGTCCCCATTTCACTGGATAGGATGGAAACTCATCAATAGCCTTCTGGATGAGGTACTGGGAGTCGAGGACTGCTTCATCGGTACTGCGCGCGTGCGCTGGGCATGTCCAGAGGCGGTGAAGGTCGTCCTCCACTGGTGCTCCACACCTGGCACAACATGCTGACTGGCTTGGTTTACATTCGTGTACTCGGGCGTTGGTCCAGATCGAGGCCTTTCCGAGGGCTTGAAGGGCTTTGGCTCGAACGGGTTGGTGATCCTTCCGAAGCTTCCGATAGGTCTTCTGAAACTGGAACGTGTCGATCCCGAACTCAGCTCCCCCTCCTAGATGGAAATGCGAGGCCCTTTCCCAGAGAACCCGAGACACATATTCACTGAAGTCGTCCAGGAAGGCCGTCTGGGCTCTGAGGTCTCCAGGAACGAGTTTATACCGTTGGTTGTCGGGAAGGATCCATCCCCAGGGCCCCACCATGTACACTCCTAGGTCATGAAGGGTGGCAATGAGCGCTGAGAAGAGGGAGGTAACCTTACTCCATCGGGTCTTACTTGCCAGACGTGCCACTGTAGGGGACCACCTTTTGCCGATTGCCTTGTGCAACTCTGGATTCTGGTTGACCATGTCGAACCAGGTCTTGACAACTTGCATGGGGAGGTAGTGCGCAGGATCCTCCTGCTGCTGTCCCCGTGCTGACAAGGCAAAGCCTGCCGTCGTGCATCCATACTTGGGAACATATCCGAGTCCTCGGACTAGTCGTCCCCGAACTAGCTTGAGTACTGTCGGCGCAATACCTTGCCCCTGTTGGCCCCAGAAGAGCTGTGGGCGGGCCCCCGTATTGACCAGCCTCCGACTCTTCTTGGTGGTCCTGGTGAGGTTGGTGATCCCTTTGAGCCTCTGGAGCCCCTTCTTGAAACGCTCCTTCCGAATCTTCAGGCGCCTCCGTAACCCCAAGGTAGTGTCCAGGCCGAGGTCCCTCCCCTGGACACTGGTCTTGACGGCCCACCCCAACTCCTTCGTACGCTCGCTTATCTTGGCGCTCAGCCCAGGCACCGACGCGAGAACACAGGATTCAGGTGAGAGCCTGCAACCATGAGCCTCGAGCTTCTTACCCAGGAAAGCCAATGCCTCTGGAACCACCTCCAAGATCTCCTTAGACGAGCCCCAAACTCGCAACCTCAGGTCGTCAACCCAGGTACGAAAACGAACTCGTGGAAACTGGTAGTGTAGATCTTCCAATATATTAAACAGGAAGGCTCGGGCGAGGGATGTTGACTGTGTGCAGCCTTGCAGGACGCTGTCGGTTGGGCACGTGGGTGACGAGCATCCTAGCGAGGCAGAGGACAGAAATCTGGCCGCCTGATGAACAATCATGGCGTGCATGAGCGGGATGGTGGGATACTCAAGACGGATGGCCACCCCGCAGACATACTCCGTACAAATCGTGTCGAAAAACTTTTCGATGTCAAACTCCTCCTCCACCTCATCCTCCTCCTCCTTCTCCTCCTCCTCCTCCTCCTCCTCCTCCTCCTCCTCCGCCTCCTCCTCCTCCTCCGCCTCCTCCTCCTCCGCCTCCGCCTCCGCCTCCTCCTCCTCCTCCTCCACCTCCTCCTCCTCCTCCTGGGGGGGGAACATCGAGCTTGAATCCACGATACGGTGTGGGCAGTGGACAAGGAACCCTTGGACAAGGAATCCAGCGTCTGGAAGCCAGTGGAGCTCCAATCGTGGATCGGCCATGGATATCACCGTCGCCCTCATTGAATAAGGAATCCTCCAGGGTCTGGCGCCTCCTGGGACTATTCCTTAACGAACGCCGCCACCGTAGTTCAGGGGTGGGGGGGGAAATCGGGCTTGAATCGACGACACGTCGGGCCCCCATCGGCCAGCAATGGTCGATGCATCCCCCCCTCACATTGCTCCGACAGGCGGGGGAGGTCCCGAGAGCGTCCACCCACCCGGGCCGTGGTGCACCACACGAAGTCGGCCAGCTTCGCCGCGGCCTTGGCAGTCGCCTCAACAAGGCGGAGACAGACATTGAGAGGGGTGGCCCAATGATGGCAACCTGGAAGCCCGCGTGGTGGATTGGAGTGCGCTTGCTCGGGCCCATCGCCCCCGCAAATGAGACGCCCCCTGTCCTGCGCAGTGACGAGGATGACGCCAGCAAGCACACCGAGGCGTACACTGCAAAGAGTTTTATGGCTGCCCATGCGAAATTACTTGACCTGACACTTGTGCTGGCATGTCGTCCCACTGCCGACGCCAGCGTATACAAATCGCTGGCGATATCATACGTTGGCAACCTGCCTCCGCGGCATGATGCTACCTGTAGGGAAACAGAAGTGCAAGAATCTGACTGACGGGTGTGGCGACTCCAACGAAAGCGCATGGGGCGTCGAAAGGTCGAGCGGGCAACGCGCGAGCCAAATTACACAGCGACCGAGCGCGGGATCAGAACCTACCGCCGGAGGGGCAGCTGGTTGAAGCTGAGCTGGCTGAGCTGGCTGCGAACGGCCAGGGCTGCATGCTGCACACGTGCGAGACCCAGACGGAACATCAGGGTGAATTGAAGCCTGCACGCCAGGAGACGCCGTGGCCTGGGCCCCTCCCTGCCCGACCGTGGCCCCCCGTGCCTCCCCTCTGCCCGACGGCGCCCCGCTCTGCCCCTTCCGCCGACCGGCCGCGCCCCTCCCTGCCCAGCAGGGGCCCCCCGCGCTCCCCCGGAGTTCCGACCCGACCGACACCGTGCGCCACGCCGGCCCGTCCGTGCCCCTCCGTCCCCCCCTTATTGCTCGACCGGCCGTGGCCGCCCGTGTCCCCCCCCCCTCCCCCCCGGCGGCACCTCCTCTGCTTATATTCCGACCGGCCGACCGCTCTCCCTCTCTCCCTGCCCCGCCGTGGCCCACCGTGCCCCCCCCCCGTTGCCTCCGCGGCCCCCCCCTCCCCTCTGCCGACTCCGACCGCCGACCGCGCCTCCCTCCCCCCCCCCTGCCCGACCGTGGCCCCCATGTGCCCTTTTCCCCCGTGCCCCCCCCCCCCCCCCTCTGCCCACTCCGACCGGCCGACCGCGCCCCCCCCCCCCCTCCCCCCCCTCGGTGCCCCAGCGTGGCCCCCCGTGCCCCCAGTCCTCTCCGCTTATACTCCGACAGACCGGCCGCGGCGCCCAAGCATGCCGCGGAAAAAGGGCCCCGGGTCGTGGAACGCTCGGCCCAAGACGCCCGAGATGGCCTCCAGACGGCCCAGGAAGCCCCCCAAAGACGCCTTCAATCAGCCGTCCCAGAGAGCCCCACAAAGAAGGCACGATTTCAGTGACGTAGCAAGTTCTCCACGCCAAGGCTCCCAAGAGCGAGCATCCCTTCCACACCTGAGCAACCCTCTATTATGTTTGTCTCTTGGGGCTCTCTGGGAAGGCTAATTGAAGGCCTCTTGGGGCGTCTTCCCAGACCCCGACGTCATGATTTGTTCATGACGCGACCCCCAGAGGTCCGGACCTATTCGCCGGGACCGGTTTTTCACCCCGAGTCGTTGTTTGACGGTCCCGAGGGCCGGTAAGGGCCCCCCGGAGGCCGAAAACATAGAAAAACCTCCCGTCGTGATTTCTTCATGACTCGAGGGGGTCTGGGATGGGGGCTTCCTGGGCCGTCTGGAGGCCATCTCGGGCGTCTTGGGCCGATCGCTCCACGACCTGGGGCTCTCTCTGTCCACCCCGGGCCCGCGCAGGAGCGCGCAGGAGCGCCTGGGAGGCCCGGGGTCCGGGCCGGGCCCTGAGGGCTCCTCCTCCTCCTCCTCCTCCTCCTCCTCCAGGGCTCCTCCTCCTCCTCCTCCTCCTTCTCCTCCTCCAGGGCTCCTCCTCCTCCTCCTCCTCCTCCTCCTCCTCCTCCTCCTCCTCCTCCTCCAGGGCTTCTCCTCCTCCTCCTCCTGCCTCTCAGGGCTGCACGAGCCTTCGGGCGCTCCACAACGTGCTGAAGGCACGGTGGCGGATCTTGGCAACGCGTACCATCGCACCCCCCCCCTGTTGGGACCAACCGCTTCGCCCCATGCAGGGAGCTCGCATCATAAGACACGCCCGTGGAGCCTCGCAGGCTTCTCCCGTCATCTCAAGGTCGCCTTCGGATCGAACCTGGCGCTACGTCCACACAGCCGTGCTGCTACTCGCAGCTCCCCTTTTTATGGTCACTCGCCAGCGTATCGCAGCACTCGCGCGGTTCCCCGAATCTGCCACAGGTTGGCGCCATCTCTGTATCCCTTTGTCCCGCATCCGTGCCTGTATGATCCTTGACACGCGTGCCTCTGGTTTTGTGTAGAACCCAACGTATCGAACCCCGCAATGTGATGTGTGGAGCCCTGTGTATGGACTCCTGAATCTGGAAACCTTTCTGTGGAACCCAACGGATGTGAAACCACGTGTGTGCGGGAGGAACCTGTTTCTGCAACCCTATTTGGGTGGACGACTGTGCGTATAAAGCCCCGAATGTGTGAAGCTAATGTGTATGGAACCCAATGCGTCTGAACCATACGCGTATCGAACCCTATGTGTGAAACTCTATGTGAGACCCCTGTGTACAAGTGGGGCACTAAGTGCCAAACCCTACGTGTGTGGAGCCCGATGTGTCAACCATCGGAACCTATCGGGCTCGTTTGCTTGTCTTGAGCTTCAGGAGTCACGCGAACATCTTGTCGTAAAGTTCCTTCGGGTGTGCACTGTACGTACTCAGAGTTCTTGAACCCAGGATGTGTACGACTAGGCGAAGGACCCGTTGGAAATATTCACGTGTTCAGCACAACACCGTGTCCACGCCGACGTTCCGGCGAACCATCACACAATTGACTGATTCGGCATCTTCACGCATTGGGGGGCTCAGATGCAAAAAAAACACTGGCTGATCGGAGCGCGATGACCGCCAAAGCTCTTACAATGAATATTTGCATCAACCCTGCCCTGAGAGAATATCAAGAATAACTCAAAGCGAGGCGCATACCGAATGGACCGAACGCACGTGCGGCAAGTAGGATACAGGAATCAACACTGGGGATTTACTGGGTCGTTACTATGTGCGTGCTTGACACTGTCATCGCTTAAACGATGACGAGTGACCCACAGAACTGGCCCAATACAGCCGATGAACGACGAAAACCACGTCGTACCACCATGCGATATTCAACTTCACGCAAATACCCTCCTGTCAACGTACTTGAATTCTGCCAGCGATTGGATCACCATACCGAGTATAGCTTTCCAGGAGTGGCGATCACTGAGAAAAAGACGCTACTGCGACGGAGTGCGGTTGTTCTTCATTTCTGGGGGGCACGCTTCAACTGCTGGCTCCTGGCTGTTCTGAAGCTTCCGTGGCAATACCAACGGCAAGCAAGAGCTTGCGCTACAGGAAGTTCGATGGCAAGCCAAACAGCGGCGCATGCCAGCTGCACCTGGGAAAATACAAAATAATAACTAAGGCTGGGCAACATCTAGCACTCACGTGCTGAAGATAAACACGCGCCAGACATCCGGCAATACACCCACACACCGAACGTCACAAAGCAGTACGTATCTGGATTAACTCAAAGTTCGCTGCAGAGGAGCTGCTCCGAAGGCCATGCAACCTGTCAGTGGTCACCAGAGGTGCTGCACGGAGCAAAAGCGTCGGGTCAGGCCGAAGGCGCCGTGCTGCCGATTTTTGGCTTGCCGATCGCGTGCACCTCGAAACCCAGCTTGTGCAGGCCCATGTGGTCCAGCATGTTCCGACCGTCGAACAAGAAGGCTGGCTTCATCATCTTACTGTAGAATACGTCGTACTTGTAGGTCTTGAACTCGTCCCACTCTGTGAGGATGACGATCGCGTGCGCCCCGTCGACAGCCTCCTCTGGCGAGCTGGTGAAGGTGAGCAACTTGTCGTCAACCTCCACCCCGTGATACTTGAACTCCGTGATGGCGTCTTCCCTCTTCACCTTGGGGTCATACACGTGAACGAGCGCTCCATCTTGCATCAGCATGTCGCAGACGGTGAGGGCAGGGGTCTCACGCACATCGCCCGTGTCTTTCTTGAACGCAAAGCCGAAAACGGCAATCTTCTTCCGGGAGACAGTGTTGAACAGGGCATGAATGATTCGGCCAGTGAAGGTCTTCTTCTGGTACTCGTTCATGTCGACGACCTTCTGCCAGTACTGAGCGCACTCGTCCAAGCCAAACTGCTCACAGATGTAGACGAGGTTCAAGATGTCCTTCTGGAAGCAAGAGCCCCCGAAACCGATGGAGGCATTGAGGAACTTCTTCCCGATGCGCGAGTCCGTGCCGATGGCTCGAGACACCTCGCTGACGTCTGCTCCTGTGCGCTCGCACAGCCTGGAGATGGAGTTAATGCTGCTGACGCGCTGGGCGAGCATGGCATTGGCGACCAGCTTCGAGAGCTCGGAGCTCCACAGGTTGGTCGTCAGAATCCGCTCCCTCGGCACCCAGTGCGCGTAGATGTCCACGAGCACCTGCACCGCCTGCTCCACCTGACCTCCGATGAGCACCCGATCGGGGTTGTCGAGGTCCGTCATGGCCGTCCCCTCGGCCAGGAACTCCGGATTCGACAGGATGTAAAACCTCTTCCCCACGGTCCCCGAGTTCAGCTCGTTCGCGGTCAGCACGCGCTCGAGCGCCGCGGCCGTCTTCACCGGCACGGTGGACTTCTCGATCACGATCTTGCTGTTGTTGGCGTACTGCGCGATGGTGCGGCCGACGCTCTCGATGAACTTCAGGTCCGCCGCGCGCCCGGCGCCGACGCCCTGCGTCTTCGTGGGCGTGTTGACCGAGGCAAAGATGATGTCCGCGTCCCTGATGCCGGCCTCCACGTCGGTGGAGAAGAAAAGGTTCCTGCCACGGCACCCCTCGACGATCTCCTTAAGCCCTGGCTCGTAGATGGGCAGCGAGTCCGAGTTCCAGGCCGCGATGCGTGCCTCGTTGAGGTCGACGATGTTCACGGTGATCTCCGGGCACTTGTGGGCAACCATCGCCATGGTCGGTCCGCCGACGTAGCCGGCGCCGATGCAGCAAATCTTGTCCAAGCGAATGCCCAGCTTGGGGTGCATCTTCACCTCCGCCATCTCTCCTCGAGCACCAGGGGCGGGCTCCGGGCAGGGCGGCCGCGGCCGCAGACCGGGGCCTGGAACCGGAGTGCCTTGAGGACGGGTTGTCCTCGGTCCAAAGGGCAGCTGCGAGGAACGCACAGATACACCTACGGTCCGGAGCTCTTGCTTAAACCGCCGCGGCGGAGGCCCCAGCGACACGCTGTGCCCTGCAAGCGGGTAGCGTGTCCCCCGGAGGAGGGAGGAGGAGGAGGAGGAAGAGGAGGAGGGGGAGGAGGAGAGGAGGAGGAGGAGGAGGGGGAGGAGGGAGGAAGGAGGAGGAGGAGGGGAGGAGGGGGAGGAGGGAGAGAAGGAGGAGGGGGAGGTGAAGGAGGAGGAGGGGAGGAAGAGGAGGAGATGACCCGAGTCGCTCGGGGGACGCTGGTGCCGTGGGCCTTGGGTGGGCAGCGTGCCGCCCCGGGGGTGTGTGGGCCACAACCAGCGGCACGGCACGCTGGGCAAAAACCCTGACAATAACTCCTCCTCCTCCTCCTCCCCTCCTCCTCCACCTCCTCCTCCTCCTTCTCCTTCTCCTCGTGCTTCCTCCTCCTCCTCCTCCTCCTCCTCCTCCTCCTCCTCCTCCTCCTCCTCCTCCTCCTCCTCCTCCTCCTCCTCCTCCTCCTCCTCCCCCTTCTCCTCCTCCTCCTCCTCCTCCTCCTCCTCTTATATTCTTGCGGTAGCGGTGGTGGAACAGGGCTGGGCAAAAAAAACCTGACCATAAGACCACACTTCAGGTGATCCGGAGACTTGGGGGGGAGATGGGCGCAGCTTTCGGCTGGCGATTGGGTCGCAAGGCTTGGTCCAGATCTCTTTGTCTAGAGGTCGCGACCGCCAGCTGTCGGTGTCCATGTGCATCGGTCTCACGACATCCCCATCGGCCCCACAATCAAAACTCCAATCGGTCTCAATATCCATTTATCGATTGGTCCCATGATCGATGCACCCATGTCAGAGCGAGGGGGCCGAACGGTCATTCACTGTCCATGGGTGCGTGGCTGAAGTGAATCCGCGGTGCGGATTATTGTTGTGATTGTTGTTGCTGTTGATGTTGCTGTTGTTGTTGCTGTTGTTGTTGTTGGTTGTTGTTGGTTGTTGTTGTTGTTGTTGGTGTTGTTGTTGTTATTGTTGTTGTTTGTTGTTTGTCGTTTGTCGTTTGTCGTTTGTTGTTTGTTGTGTGTTGTCGTCGTCCCACCAGCAATCCGCCCCGCGACCCACCAGCGACCCACCCCGCGACCCACCCCGCGACCCACCCGCGACCCACCCGCGACCCACCCCGCGACCCACCCACACGCGACCCACCCGCGACCCACCCGCGACCCACCCGCGACCCACCCGCGACCCACCCGCGATCCACCCCGCGACCGCCCCGCGACCCGCCTTCGACCCAAAACGCGCTGAAGGTACAAACCACCATTTTCGGCGCCTGCGGCGCGCGTTTTTTAGCATTCCTTCCAAGTGGAGAGCCCGCGACCCACCCCCTCGCGACCAACCCACGACCCAAACCACAATCAGGGTACAAAACACAGTTTTCGGCGCCTGCGGCGGGCATCCTTTGCATTCGTTTCAGGTGGAGAGCCCGCGGCCCACCCGCGACCACGTTCAGGGTACAAACCAATTTTTTCGGCGCCTGCGGCGGGCATCTTTTGCATCCGTTCCCGGTGGAGAACCCGCGGCCCACCCGCGACCCAAACCACGTTCAGTGCACAAACCATTTTATTCGGCGCCTGCGGCCGGCTGTTTTTACATTCCTCCCAGGTGGAGGTGGAGAGCCCGCGACCCACCCGCGACCCAAACCACGTTCACTGAACAAGCGCGGCGGCGGATTTTTGCATGCCGTCTGAGCCCGCAACAACCTCTTCAAGCCCCGCGCATCCACACCAGCCCGTCCAGCAACTTTGCCCTCGCGAGTTGCCTTGATCAGAGAAGTCGGGGAGCATAAAGTGGAAAAAATATTGCGTTGCTGTTATCTTGGGGAAGGAAGGGGAGGCAGGAGGAGTAAACAGGGGACGAGGAGGACGCGGAAGAAGAGAGGATGTAAGGAGAATGTGGAGAAAGAGGAGCAGGAGGACGAGAAGGGGGAGGAGGGGGAGGAGGAGGACGAGGAGGGGGAGGAGGGGGAGGAGGGGGAGGATGATGATGGACGACAATGGGAGGACGATGATGGAGGCCGATGATGGGGAGGACGACGATGGGAGGACGATGATGGAAGGACGAGGGGGGGGAGAGGGAGGACGAGGAAGAAGAGGAGGAGGACGAGGTGGAAGAGGAGGAGGATGACGATGACGATGAGGACGAGGACGAGGACGAGGACGAGGAAGAAGAGGAGGAGGACGAGGAGGAGGAGGAGGAGGACAGCGCCATCGACAAGGAAGGTGGGGGCCACGAGGTCTGCCGGCTCGACGACGCCCGCGTCGCCCGCGCCCGCCACCTCACTCTTATCCGCAATTGCAGGGTGCTATGTATATCACTGTCTAGACATCGGTCTCACGATCTGCCCATCTATGGACGGGGAAAGCGCGGGCAACCATGGGACAACCACGGGAAAACACGGGACACCCACGGGATTTCCATCGGGACATCCACGGCACAACCACGAGACAGCCACGGGACAACCACGACAACCATGGGACAACCACGGGACAACCGTCCCACAGGACAGCCATGGGACATCCGCGGGACAACCACGGGACAATCGCGGATCAACAACGGGATATACTGCGGGACAACCATGGGACAACTGCTGGACAGCCACGGAACAACCACGGGTCAATTACAAGACAACAACGGAATCAGCACGGAATATCCACAGGACAACCACGGGACAACCATCCGGACAACCACAGGACTTCTGCGGGACAGCCATCGGGGCGCCTCTCGATCGCACTAACACTGAATGTGGGAAGAAGAGCGAATGAGAAAGAGAGAGAGAGAGAGAGAAACAACAACAACGATGAGAAACAACACGAGAAAGTGAAAGAGAGAGTGTACACATATATATATATATATAAACATATATATGCATACGCACCTATTTACATACAGACAAGCATGCATCCACATATACATACATATGTATATACACATACTACATGTATATACACACCAGTCTCTGTTCATCTATCGGTATCACTGTGTTTCTCCTTCGGGGCGGGACAACCATCGGGAAAACCACGGACCAACCACGGGACACCCACAGGACAGCCACGGGACAGCCATCGGGACAGCAATCGAGATACCCAAGAGAACGCCACAGGTTACCCACTGGCCAACCATCGGGACAGCCGTCGGGACAGCCATCGGGACAGCCAAGGGACAACCACAAGACAATCGCGGAACAACAGCGGACCAACCGCGGGAACGGTCACCGTGGGCACGACCACAGGGCAACCACAGGACAGCCACAGGACCACCAGCGGGACAACCAGCGGGACAACCAGCGGGGCAACCACAAGACAATCGCGGGACACCCACAAGACAATCACAGGGCAGCCCCCCAGCACGCCCCAGCCACCGGGCGGCCAGAACCCAGACACAAACTCGCGCACCTTCGCCCCTCCCCGCCCGCACGCGCGTCACGCATGGCACGAACCGACACCGAAATCGATGTCCTGGTTTGGGAACTCCGCTTCACGTCGGTCTCAGCCCCCCACACACACACACCTCCAACACCACACGCAGAGATGTACACACGACTGTTGCAACAAACGCACGCACAAGCAGGAACAAAAACCGAATATTGCCGCTCATGACCGCGGCTCGGCTTTGACTTCGACTCCGCTGGGCAGGTTCCATGATCGAGCTCACATCCTCTTCTCCTCTTCTCCTCCCCATGATCCCGCCACCTCCCCCAGCATTTATCCTCATTGTCCTCCTCCTCCTCCTCCTCCTGATCCTTCTCCTCCAGATCCCCCTCCTCCTCCTCCTCCTCCTCCTCCTCCTCCTCCTCCTCCTCTTCCTCCTCCTCCTCTTCCTCTTCCTCCTCCTCCTCCTCCTCCTCCTCCTCCTCCTCCTCCTCTTCCTCCTCCTCCTCCTTCTCTCCCACCCCCCCAAGTCTCCCCCTCCTCTTCGCCCGCGCGCCACGCCATACTGCGCCCACCGCACCGATGCGCGCGCGGCACGGGCGCACCACACCGAAGCAGACCTTCCACGATCCGAACATGTGGTGCCCGCGGCGCCCAACCGTGGTGCCTCAAGGGTCCGGCGCGACTGCCTGCTCATCCTTCCCAGTTTCCTCCTGCATACTGTGCCATAAGCATAAATTGCTGGCGTTCCGCGCGGATTCCAGAATGGCGGCGCCAGAAGCGCCGCCAGAGGGCCCCAGCGCGGATCCAACACATCCGCGCAGAACGCCAAAAAGGTAGGTTTATGACGTTTGATTATTTCAATGCTGTTCGCCTCCTGGTGCTGGCGCTGGCGGCCGTGCTTTCTGTGAGACTGGGGCCGTTTGTCGCCTCCCGTCTGCGCTGGCAGCGAGGGGGGGGGGCGGAAAGTTCGTTCCTAGGCAAATCGAAGGTGGAAGAGCGACGGAAACCCTTGCAAGCCTTCGAGCTGCGGACTGTTCCCTCCTAGGGAGCGAAGCCCTCGCCGGATCTGCCTCCTCCTCCTTTTCCTCCTCCTCCTCCTCCTCCTCCTCCTCCTCCTTCTCCTCCTCCTCCTCCTCCTCGACCTCCTCCTCCTCGACCTCCTCCTCATCGTCCTCCTCGTCCTCGTCCTCCTCCTCCTCCTCCTTCTCCTCCTTCTCCCCCTGGCGATCCTTCTCATTCCCTCTGCCTCCTTCTTCTCCTTTGTCGCCTCGTCCTCCTCCTCCCGATTCTCCTACGAATCATCCGCCCCTCCGATTCCCTCCCCACCCATCCGTCCCCCCTCCATTCCTGCACGCCCGATTCATCGCC